TTCCTTTCTCATAGAACAACATTTACACTTGAATATTGCAATCACTACTCTAATTTGGTTAACAACGCTAGAGGCTGACAATTCCAAGAAACCCTCTGTAGGCTCAAAACCCCTTTCGATTAAAAGGCGTTTTGTAACAACAAATGGTTCTTTTTTCTTCCACTAAGGCTAGTTAAAGCTGCAGTGTACCCATTTCTACCAAATCAACATATCACTATCACACTAACAATTTGAGTTGCAAAGCCCTTTGAGAGAAGAAATTGCACTGATCTGCAAAATGCTAACGAGTTATTTTCGATTTGGTGTTATCTTCTTTGAAGTCCTAGAAAGGGAGAAGGTGGTAGTGGTGGAACTTCAGTGAAGGCTTTGCCTGGCCTGGGTATTTCCTCATGCTCAGCAGTGGACAGCCCATTTCTAAAGTGGTCCCTCTAAGATACCAAACACTGCAGTTTTAACAGCCATGCCTAGATCCCAACCATATCTCCCTTTGTATCATAAATTATCCAAAAAGAAGCCACTTCTAAATAATAAATTAAATATTACTTATAAAAAGTACCCCTCATACCCACCCACCCTTCCCCCAAACGAGCTGACAATCCACAAAGTTCAGAATTGTCAGGTTTACCCTACAATAATAAAAAACACATTTTTCCTCCTCTCCAACATTCCTTCCTTGCATCTGAAAATACACATCGAACACACAGTGAGATCCCTTGGCCCATGCCTCTGTATTTATGATTGCTTGTATAGTTTTGCTGTTTCTCTCCTATCAACATCATCAAGAACAAAATCATAAGATGGTAATGCACAAAGCTGAGAGCAAGAGAAAAACACCCTTCTGAGTGTTGCTGGAAGTCTTCCCGTGAAAAGCCATAATGGCAGAAGGGGTGGACCAGATCAGACCTTATACTCATTTGCCTACATGGGCACAGTATTGTTACCTATAAAACCTCACTGACAAGAAATATAGCATTTCTTTTGCTAATCAGATCTTTCTGGAAGCAGTTATTTCATTAACAAAGGACATGGAGGCATGAGGACATGCATTACAGTTGGATTTATACAAAGCCTTTCTGAACACTAAAATGATTTTTGAAAGTCAGTAGATAAATATAACTTATGAAGAGAACATTGCTTCATTTGAGTGTGTGGTGGGTGCTGCAGATCCATAGTGCCCTAGGACTCTGTAGTCCTCAAATCATGTTAAGCTTGCATACCCAGATATACCAGGCCATCATACTAAATTTTGACCTTGGGGATAGACTGTGATTGCATAAAGAGAACTAGGAAAGAACGGGAGACTGTATGCTTTTGATATTGGTGCTCTTCATCTTTTTAAAATTCTTGTTACTTTTATTTTCTTTCAGTTCATCCAAGACTTGGGGGTTTTGCATTTTCCTTTGTCTCACTTACTAGAAATGATCATTCCAAATCCACTAGATCTCTGAGCTCCGGATAAGAATTTATGTGAAATGTCAGGCAGCTCCTTTACTGGACTTACAGTTCACCTAGCATGTCGGAGACACTGTGTTCCACTGGTGAGTGGCTTTAAGATGCTTATTTGAACAAGTCTGGAGAAGGATCCAGAGGAGAGGAAAGTACCATCATCTCATAGCGCAAACTTTGGGGTTGACGGCAGGGGCAGGTTCTCAGAAAGACATGTGCTGGGGAGGTTGTTTACTGGGAAAGGCAGTAAATGGCAAGCTTTAGCTTTAAAATACTGTCGGGACTCTCCTTTTGTAAATGCCACCTTCACAGAGCATGAAGCATGTTCCTCATTTTCAACAACCTTTATTTTGAAGAAACCCAAACTATTATTTCATCCAATCCCCAGAAGAAAATGAGTCTGCTTATATCATTAACTTGTCTTCTTCATTCCTGGGTCATTCATCTGAGTATGCATTTAATAAAAGCCAAAGATAAAACTGTATTGTTTAAATATTCTAGAAGACAATGGACCTATTTTATGGAGGCAGCTAGGAACCAGTTTCCCATTGAATATAAATCAGTAAGAAATACTTAACTTTTGACTACAGCATTACACAAATGGTTTTGTGTATACTTTGAACTATCTTCCCTTTTGCTAGTTTAAACAAATGCAGAAATTTCTTGAGGAATAAAAATAGTTTTCTTATCAAAATGAAATAGAAAAAATAAATAGCAAAGTTCTTCCAGGGCAGGCTCTTGCTTTGCATCTCAGCATAGTATATGGAAACCTGAGTCCTCCTGCCAAGTTTGATTTTCTTCCTTTTCACAGAGAATTGATTCCTGGTGGCTGAGTTGCCGGCTGTATGTTCAGCTTTTCCTTACAGGAGTCAAAGAGATTTATAAATTTAAAGGGTCCTTCATTCCATGCACCTGACTCAGAGGGAATCAAACCAAACTGCCTCACACCAGACACAGAGTCTTTCTTGTCAAAAAAAGGCCTGGGAATTTAACTGTCACCTGGAAACCTGGGCAAGTTTTCTGGTACACATATGAATCACTGGAAGGGATGTGGGAACAGGAGTTATGAAGAACCCATGTTGGACTAATTGTGCATTAAATTCACGAGGTTAATTAAACCATCTCTGGGTGTGTATAAATGGGTTCCAGTGTATAGACAGGGCATGACAGTATGACTTTATTAGAATTATTAAGTGTTAAAATTATTATAATAATTTACTGGAATTTTCAAGGGCATAAGGCAGAAATGTGGCTCCCAATGAGAATAAATAACACACTTTCATTGACTTTTGAAGATTACATTTTTCTGAAATTGTTGACTGATCAGAAAGGCCTAGAATTTTCTGAAAATTCCAGTTGTTTTGACTGTTCAAATAGATTTTACAGAGTAACATTCCATTATAACTCATTCCCTGAAATCTGAGGTTTGTAGCAACCCCACACTGAATCTTGAGATTACTGTCATGGGTATCAAATGTCTCCAAAAAGTGGTTCCTCTTTGTGGAAACTAGAAAGGGAGCTTATTCTAGGATTTTGAGAAAGTTTCGCTAGCTTACTAAATTACATTTTACAGTTCGCAATCATGGATTTTTTTTTAAATACTCAATGTTATGTTAAGAAATGCTTTATTTCAGGTCAGTCGAGAGTTGTCTAGTTAAGTGCCCAGATAGTGAACAAAAGCATTCTGTCCCATTAAATAACATCATACAGTTCTTCGAAAGTACTTCCAGAAAAATCTCAGCAAATCGAGCAAGCACTCTTGTTGAAGGAAGCATTTTGCAAATGGACCAGACTTTCTAATGAACCATTTGAACAAGCCCTCTCTTTGACATCAGATTTCCTTCCCGACATAAAACTGTAAAAAAATAATCTGAATTATTATTTCTGTTACAGTGCCATTTTGCTCAAAATATTTCATTCAGGGATTCATATATAATTACCCACCTAATAAAAGGAGCTATTAGGTTGTAAAGATCCTATCCTTGCCATGCTCTTTTAAAATTATGACCTACTCAAGCTTGAAATCAAAGGCAGAGCTGAAAGGAATAATTCAGCTGGAACTCTCATTGGGTTTTCAAGCCACCTAACTGATAAGTATGCAAACTAGCTCCCTTTTGGCGACTCAGCTGCATAAATAGGGATTAACTCCAAATACAGCTGAAAATTCTCAAACTAAAAGGGAATGCACAGAATGTTCTTGATTTCTGCTCGTTTCAAGCTGTAGATAACATGGCAAGAGTTTAAAATTCTAGTCCACAGTTTAAGTTGCCGCTTTGAAAAATACCTACAGGAGTTATGATATGTCAGATGTCAAGTGGTACCTACTCCCTCTCCCCTCCCTGACTCTGTCTTAGGCATGGTGTAGAAGGTTGCCCTTCCAACAGAGCCTGTAGTAAACATCCGTCAATGTTGCCTTGCTCAGCTCAGTAAAGATGCTATAGCTGAAAGTGACATCACTCAAGAAAAGATGCTATTGGAAATGGTTTTTCATGCTCCTTTTCCTTCTTCAGAGCTTGCTCTCAGGAAGTCTACTATCTCCACAGAGGGATATTGGGGACACAAAATATAGGATGCATGGAGTTGGCCATTTTACCTAAGGCTGCTTGCCCAGGGGAAATAGAGGGATGATGGGTGGAGGATTGTAGAATGCTTCTGGCCAAATGCCTGAAGAAGAAGCCTTAGTGAAACTCAGACAGGCCATCACAGTGTGGAATGGCAGAGAAGCCACTCAAGTTGAAAAGTATCGTATTACGAGCTTAAGTACACAATCACCATGTGTCTGAAAAGATTGCATATTGTACTCTCCTTCTAGAAAGGTACCGTTGTTGGCAGAATACCACCAGTCGAGGAATTTTCGGTTTCTACACTCTGGGCATAAATGTTAATCATGGATGGATTTACAGACACGTCTCAAATTGTTAAAAATTTTGTACCCACTCACTAATATCTGCCACTTGTGTGAGATGAATGATTGAGCTATAAACAAGCATTCGTTGCCCTTTGCTCATTCTCTTAATTTACTTTTTCTGGTGCCAAGGAAAACAGCCAATCCTTTGGTGCTATGGAGTGAGGGGATTACCATGGATGCTTTGTAGTTTAAAGTTGAAAATAAAAATAGTGAGTTGGTTTTTTTCTTTTTTTCTGATTTTCTATGGTATGGTACAGGCTGGAATAATGCACTTGTATTTTGTAAAACTAGACCTACACCAAAACTGAAAGATTTCACTGAAAGAAAATGTAGTCATCAGTGATGATACCAGGGTCACTGCAGTGACAAAGACCCGGGACTATGCTAGAAACTTCAGCCTTGACTTCTCAGTGAAGACGCATCTTTGCTTTTGCTTAGGGACCTCATGGCCATCCCTGTCCAGTTCCTGATGTCCATGTAGGATAGGATGCTGATTCCTTCTGAACGGCTTCAGGTGTTCCTTAACTGAGTGGTCCTGACGGTTGACCTGTACACTGGTTAGAGTTTTTGGACATGGGTGTGCTGTTTATGGATACTTGGTATGCTGTAAAGTTCCCGGAAAACCTCAATGCTTCGACAATATGTGTCAAAAAGCTGAACCTGTGATGGCGTTAAGTTGCTTCATTAGCCCTTCCAGACTTGCCATTTGCTCACTCAGGTCGTCCTGTTCATACACCTAAAAAGAGAACGAGAGCAGAGTTAGTCCTGCGTCTTGGTAGGCTCCCTCCGTGTAGGACCCACTTATTATTAGGCCATTGCTTCGACCACTTATCATTCTTGAGTTTGACAAGGGGACCTATAGCAAGAACTATTCTCAGAGAATGCTAACTGAATGAACGTGTGATAGAAAAGGAGCTAGCAATACATGACTGAAAAGTAGCCTGTTGGCGCAATACACTGTTTTGTATAAAAAGAATGAAGTTTGCAGTGAGATAATTACTTGATCAATTATTTCCTATTCCTTCCCTCCCTTCTTCCTATCCCTCCCTTCCTTCCTTCCTTCCTTCCTTCCTTCCTTCCTTCCTTCCTTCCTTCCTTCCTTCCTTCCTTCCTTCCTTCCTTCTTTTTCTCCTTTCTCTTTCTTTCCTTTTTTCCCCTCCCTCCCTCTCCGCCCCTCTCTCTCTCTGTCTCTTCTTTTTTTTTTTTTTTTTTTTGGAAGCAGTGTTTCACAATATACTCCATGATGGTCTGGAATTCTTTATGTAGGCCACACTGACCTCAAACTCACAGAGCTCCACCTGCTTCTACCATTTCAGAGCTGGGATTCAAGGTGTGTAACATCACATCTGGTCGTTGGGCACCCATTTTCAAATATGTTGTTTTGGTTGTCTGAATTATTTATCTGAATTTAACTACTGTATTCTTTAAATATAGTTACTCTAAGTTCAATATATTTCACATATAAGACACACTTATGGATAATGTAAAAACAAAAGGAAAGTATTGTACAGTTACATATTTATCAAGTATTAATGCCATACTTAGAAAATATTGGATTAAATAAAAGCATTAAATTACATATTCCAATTTTTATGCTTTTAGTATAGTTCCTAGAAAATTTAAAATTATCCAGGGTCATCACATTATTATTTTCATATACATATATGTATATATATTATACACACACACACATATATATATTAAAATTTCTACCTCTGATGTAAATGGCCTGTTAATAATTAAGATTGACTGAAAATAGTGAAAGCAAAGAACATAGCATTAAAAGACATAAGAAATATATGAAAGGAAAAGCAGAAATGGGGCAAATTTAGATCAGCTGGTCTTAACTGTTAAGAAGTACACTAACATTCCAAACAGCTGCATTTGGGTAGCCTCATTTCAAACTGTTTTATACTGTACTTTTGATAGAAAAGTTTTTATTTTTCCTCTCAAATTGAGCTTTCTAATTTAATCATATTTGACGTCTTTCCTTAGAACAGAAAATTTCTGTTCCTTAACTAATGAAACTCTCCTTTTAGTTCCTAAATGTGTTTGCATTAGCTTACAAACTATGTTATTTCCAAAATGTCTCACCATATAACCTTCTTTTGGCTAGCCCTCACCTCACCTTCTCTGCTCCTCAATCTTCCAGTCCCCATGCCCATGCTCAACACCGTGAGAACTGCCCCACTTCATGGGACTTCAGTCTACTCTCCTTTTTATTTTTTATCTTAGGTTGGAAAATTGGAGGTTTCCATACTGTGTTTTCAGGCACTCTTCTATTTTGTTAAGGCTTCCTGTGCTCTTTGTCTTTGGTCGTCTAGCTCCATTCATTCTTGAATATTTGTTCTTTTATGGATTTAGAAGCAATAACTAACTTCAGCAAATTCCCTAGGCTATAGCTTTCAGTTAAATATTAGTTCAATAATGAGCACATGGGTTTCTTTCCAGGATTTCAAGATATTTCTTAGAAATCATAGGGTGTGGTTTGTGTGTGTGTGTGTGTGTGTGTGTGTGTGTGTGTGTAGGCTCATATGTGCAGGCATTTATAGATATACACATGTATAAAAGTATGCTTATATATGATTATATGAATTCATAGATTAGTTAATATTCTGTTATCTATACATCTTTAATTTAACTGATTCTCTTGTATATACTCTTTTTTTGTAGTTTTTCTCATCACGTTTAAGCATAGGCAAGGAGTAAAAACAATTCCTTATGTGCTGATGAGTGATGACCACTTAGGTCACATTGTACCGCACGACTCTGAACACAGGCTCTTACACTGGCTGGATCCTCTGTTGGCTTGTGACTCTCCTCCGACACTTCAGGGGCTGTTGGCACAGACACGGGAAGCAAAGGGGACCTTGCCTTTCCAGCCAGCCCAAGGGAGGCTGTTTTAACATGAGTCTTGGGCAGAGTAGGTCCTGGAATAGAAAACACAGGTTGATGAAAGTAAGATATAAAACATCCAAGGTACAAGGTCTGAATCCAGCAGGCTGACCTTGATTTGACCATGTTCTTCATTCTGTGTGTGGTGATGGATTCTGACTCTCAGGGCAGACTCGCTTTATTTTCCCTGAATGGAAGACAGATTATATGGGAAGGCCTTGCCTGGTGAAGCTCTACAAATTGTGACTAATTACAAGTGGATTCCAAATCAGGCAGGGAGCTCCAGACTTTTCATCACAAACAACAGTTTAACAGGTAAGCTCATTATCTGGCAGCCTCTGGTTCAGGGTATTATGAACTGTACAATAACTCCTAAATTATGTAATAGATAAAGATGTGTGAACTTAGAAGAAATAGCTGCTTGGTCTGTAAAGAAATACTACGTATTTCAGCAAAAGAAAGTCTTGCATGGCTAAACTGAGAGAATTGTATTATGATCTATTGAACAAAATGAAATGATTTTTCTGACCAAAGTAAACTGTCAACAGAATCCATTTTAATATTCTTCAAAAACAAGCAAGAAATTAAGTCTTTTGAATGACTTTTTTACTAAAATAATTAATTGCTTTTTATTTTGTTTGAAATTTCCTTTAAAATTCTGCTTAGGTTTCTTATTTCTTGTTTCTGCTTCATTGCTATTAACTTGCAATAAGTGTTTATAAAGACTTATTGAACTGGGTAGCACATATCACAGGATTAAAGAGTCATGCTTACTTAGAATTGAAACCAAGAGCTTTAGCACAAACGTTATAGGGTCTTGGAGAAGCTACACTCATGAAGCTTCGTCAACACGACTGTAAGTCAACAGAGGCCCTGTACAAGGATGGCACCAATAACACACCAGTACAGAAAGGAGCAAGCTTGTGAGACCTTAGCCCCAGATAAAGAAATAGAGGACACAAAGGAATACTGAACCAGTCTTCTCCAGGGAAGAGCACACCCACTAGTTATCCAATACTAAATCCAATACTAAATGCATACATGAGAACTATGCATGTAAGTAGCATTATACACACTGAGAAGGCTGTACTTATATATTTAGGATATACATTCACAAGCGTGAGCACACACACATACATACAAACACACACATACATATATCAATCAATGCGGGTAGATGGCAGGGGTTGGAAGGATGGAAGGGAAAGGAAAAATGATGTAATTATAATCTCAAAACAAAAATAAGCAAAATAAAAACTTTAAAGGGAAGGTATAAAAGCTTACCTCTTTTGTATTCTACCACAAATAATGATACTTTAGTTCTTTGTTCTATTGATCTTAGACGGTACTATATTCTTTGACACAGACTACTATTTTAATAAACATACCAGGGTTAATGCGTTAACTGGGATAATGCATCTATGACCAGAAAAAGGGTCATTTGTTTATTTGAAACAATGTAAATACTCTAATAAATCAATAATCTGCTAAAAAGCTAGACACTGTAAATGATAAATTTGAGTATGAATCTATTTTCCCCTGTCATGTTCTAACATCCAGTCCCTTCTCAATAACTTTTACTAAACACTAGGGATCTAAGTATGTAACCAGACACAGAAATCTCATATATTCATTGATTGCTGGTTATGCAGTCTCTTGATTTTCTGAACCTCTCCTGGCTTATTTATCTGTAGAATGGTAATGATAATAGTGATTTCTAAGTATTAAATGAGATTACATATTTAAATTGGTTGAGGGCTGAGGAGGCAGCTCGGTCTATAAGGTTCTTTCATTTCAGGCATGAGTTCCTGAGTCTGAGTTCCAGATCACATGTAAACAATATGGTTAATTGACCAAGCACTTGAGACCCAGAACACGTGTAGCCAATACGGTTGATTGAGCATGCATTTGTAATTCCAATGGTGGGGAGACAGAGTCAGGGTAGGTCTCTGGAGCTCACTGGACCACTGGCTTCCTTAGTAAGCAAGCTTCAGGCCAGTGAGAAATCTTTCTAAACAGAAAAGGTGGACTATGTCTGATATGAGTGAATGATATCTGGATTTCTTCTCTGGCATGCACATGCATACACACAAACACACACACACACACACTGTATGTAGCTGATCCTTACTAAGTTGTTCAAGTAGGACTAGTTTTATTATTTCCATATTAAAATAAGCATAAGTATTATTATTCTGAGCTTACACATGAATGTAAAGAATGGAAGAAAATCAACCTCAAAGTTCCACACTTGGGCAGACAGTTCCCCAGCTTATATCTAACTGCCTTGGATAAGGGAAGGCTTCCTAACTCATAACTTGTTTTATTTTATCAAGGTGAAATTTTTCAGGAAACTATGAAAGTGAACATTACTGGAAATCAAAGACTATGTTTAGCTTGACGATTGAATTTTTTTCCCATGTCTCTGAATGCCGTAAGTGAGTTGTAATGTCAATAAACTCTAGCATTGTCTTCCTCCATTTTTATTACAATGTTTTTAAATATATGCATAAGTGTCATAATCTTCATAAGTATCATATTTCTTCTGTTATAGTCTCTAATACGAACTTAAGTAATCTTAAATGTGAAGAGTATTATAAAAATAGACAATATGCGGGCTGATGAGATGGCTCAAAAAAAAAAATGCTTGCTGTGCAAGTCCCATTACTTGAGTTCCACGCCCAGTATGTGTGGTGCGTGTGTCAGGGAGAATCAGCTCCAGAAAATCGTCTCTGAACTCCATAATCATGCTATTATGACAGGTGTACCTGCACTTGTATGCACATATCAAACACACACAGTCACAATCATAAAAACAATGATAAAATAACAATATTAATAAATTTTTGAAAATTGCAACTTCATTAATCATTCATAAAAAGAGGAAAGGTAAGGAACAAATATACCGTGCAAATTTTGAGTACATGACACAGTCATTTTGGGTTCATGACCCATGATTAGTTTTTACTACCGTTATGCTCTAACCAAATGATAGTCAAATCTCTATTCATACAGAGATTGTAATGTTAGCTTGTCTTCACTGGATATGAACCAATTATGTGTGTGTTACATTTATCTCTATCCTTTCTCTTTAGCCTTTTACTCCACGTAGGATGTAGTGATATTTCATTTGTATTTTAATAAATAATGCTTGCATGAAGTTCAAAAATTAAAACAGTCATGCTGATCAGCCTTACAGCCTTACACACCTTAATCTCAATAGCTACACTAGTTTGCCATGGAAGCCAGGCAGCTGTGGAGCATGCATTTAATCTCAGCACAGAGAGGGATATAAAACGGGATGAGACAGCTTTCAGAGACAATCTCTTTCTGAGGTTTCTGGAGGCAGGATTGCCATTTTGGACTGAGGTAGGGGTAAGAACCAGTGGCTGGCTGTTTTGCTTTTCTGACCCTCAGGTTGAACCCCAATTTCTGTCTCTGGGTTTTTGTTAAATGTGCTACAATAGGGTGTTCCTGGCAGTATCTCACAAATGGAGGCCCTAAAACCGGTCTCGCTGAACATAGCAGACAATGAGGACTACTGAGACTTCAAGAACAATGGCAATGGGTTTTTGATCCTACTGCACGTATTGGCTTTGTGGGAGCCTAGGCAGTTTGGATGCTCACCTTACTAGACCTGGATGGAGGTGGGTGGTCCTTGGACTTCCCATTGGGCAGGGAACCCTGATTGCTCTTTAGGCTGATGAGGGAGGGGGACTTGATTGGGGGAGGGGGAGGGAAATGGGAGGCGGCGGTGGGGAAGAGACAGAAATCTTTAATAAATAAATAAATAAAAATATACAAAAAAACTTGTTACAACTGAGTTCTCAACTGGATCTTCAGAAGGTCCTCATGTTTAATTTATATTAATATTTTACATTGTTTGCCTGGGGATGTAGGTTATGGTTAGATTACTTGCCCAGTATACAAGCCCTGAGCCCTGAGATCAATTCCCAGAACTGTGATAGATAAATAGATGAATACATATATAAATGAAGTATGAATACTAATACATTTGTTTAAATTGAGATACACATTTTTGCAAAGGAATTCTCAAAGTTAGCTTCTCTTAAAATGGTGATGGTAGTACACACTACTCTTATCCAAACAAGTTGGCGGCTGAGACATGAGGCCAGCATAAGTTCAAAGCCAGCCTTGATACATAGCCTGGTTCTCTCTCAAGTAACATGTCCCCTACCTCCTCAGCCCAGGGACATACACAGAAAACCTAAGAATTCTGTCATCAAAACATGAAACAAACAAACAAACAAAAACCAAAACAAATGAGCCAAAGGCCCAACCAAACGAATGACTGACAGTTCAAAGGGCCCAACCAAAGTACCAACAGTTCCAAAACGAGAGCTGTTGAGCTGGAGAATGAATACGTCCCTTGGATTCCTGTTTTGAATTACAATCTCTGAACTGTGCTCATTTATCCTCCTACAAAGGTTTCCAGGTTCTGGGTAAATATGAGTTCAGCTCTTTTTCTCCCAAAGGTCATACTTTGCAGGAGCATCTTTTATACCTCACTACTTCAACAGAGCAAACACATCCTAATCACTGTTTTCTCTATGGACTTATTTGTACATACTTATCTTTTTTAAAATCAAGGCTTCCTAGATAATGAAAACAGATTTGCTTTTATTTTTAAGGTTTTCCAAATGTTTTAGAGGAATTTAAACTAGGTCTGTGAGCTTTACCAAGTACTTTGTAATATGCTCAGTACACACTGAAAACCAGTTTTCTTTAATGTGGGTATTTATACAAAGAAAATGCAAATGTGTACTAGAGAACTAAAGGGCATTGGCCTAGCTTATCATGGAGGAAATTATAGCAGGGTTGGTTCCTGTTTTTTTTTTATGAAAAAACATATAAAATAAATTTTCTTTTAGAATTTACTAGACTTAATTTTACTTAATAAATTATCTCAGTACATTTTTGACAGCTTTGTATGTAAAGAAAATGTGATGCTTAGGCACGGCTTACCATTAGCACTACAAAATACTCCCGGATACATTTTCTCCCTAACATATGT